CTTTTATAACATCACCATAAGCCTCTCGTCCTCAGCCAATACCAGTATGTCGTTCAAATACGCATTGGCCAATTCACGATCATACATACATTGAAGTCGATCACTAGCCATTTAAATCTGAACTATACAGTTCGCTTTGCAATATAACTTTTAAGAGATTCTGTTGGCTTCAACGATACCCACCGACACGAGCTCTTAACAGTGTGTTTGTTTTCCACCACATAACAGCTGACTTAGCATCAAACATGCTGACGGCAATTCGTAACTAATTAAAAGTTAAACTTCGTTATTTAAGATAGATATTAGCAAACCCTTCCAATGTGGTCATTCCCTTGAGATTTCTGTTACTAATTCGTCTAGGTTTTTCACAGCGTATTGCTCGACTACACAAAGTTTCAATTTTTCGTGCTTATAGGTACGTCAGGCTCACCAGTTGCGTGTCCATGGATAACCCTCGTGCTATTGATAGAAGATACTAGACTAGTAGTGAGTAGGTCTTTATTTAGATCTTCGCACAGTCACACTGGAGCGTTGGATTACCTGTTCAGACAAACAAAACCTCTCAGCATTCAATATAAGATAATAGGAAATATAATGTCTATACAAAATAAGGAAGTGAATGTATACTTGAACTCTATTGTTTTGACATATACTTAGTTGTTTGAGGTCATCTCAACTCAGCAACCAGTCAGCTAACGTCGAAGTTATACCTGATGGTTAGTACTTAACATGAACTATCCTTTCGTCATATCCAGCTACTATGGCTAGGTTGATGACTCTTACACACAAACGAAGTTAATTCAGAAATATATTAGTAAGAGCAGGTACAAGAAAAACAATGCGACCACCACTACATGTAACAGTCCATGGCGTGTAATTAACTGATGCGCGTTTGTTGCTGTTGATCCTGACATGTATCAGTGAGCTGTTTATTTATTGACTCGACTGACGGATGGTTTGGCATTTGACATCTTACTGACCCTACACAATCGGTGTTGAAAACCTACAAAACTACTGGTTTTGAGAAGTCACTTAACACAGAAGTGTGTTTGAATACTTTGCTCCATTAGTTTTTCAGTGTAGAAGATCCATATACCCCAGTAAAAGTGTCGCAAATCATCGTCAAATCTGGAACCGGAAGTGGAATATACCATGACACTGAGTTGGATTTATGAATCAAGGTTAATAAGCCATAACCGTAGGTCCGTAATCAAGAGGGTTCCTCATGCTTATTCCCCTTGTTGAAACTTAAACATCTAAATCTAGCCTTTTAAAAACACAGCAGTAGTGTGTGGGCCTCAATTTATGAATTTTATTGTTGCAGAAAGCTGAGGAATATTACTAATTAACTCGTTTTTCATATTAACGATGTACTTACAATCGCTAATTAAATTGACTAATGAACTATCAATGCATATGCACGAACTAAAGTTAATCTGCTAAAAAATAGTCCTTGAAGTCAAATGTGTTATTAGGAAATCAAGCGAATATGGTCCCATTAGCAACCGTTCGACCACACCTGTTTTGAAGGGCATAATTTTTTCTCCAGGGAACAACATGGTTTTCGGAGAGGCCTATCATGATTGACAAATTTTCTCACTGCAAGAGAAGATTGGGCTGCTGCAAAAGATCAGAATATTCCCGGGGATGTGATCTTCATAGATCTAAGTAAGGCCCTCGATAAGGTCTCCCACTCTGGTCTTAAACCCAAACTGGAACGCTTTGGAATCCATTTCACAGTTGTAGATTAGATAAGTAACTTTCTCCATGACAGGAGACAAAGGGTAAGGGTAAATAGAGCTCTCTCCCCGTGGGTGCCTGTAAAAAGTGGAGTTCCCCAAAGTCCTCTTCTTTTTTACTTTATGAAAATGAATTACCAACTGTAGCAAAATCATCCGTTCTACTCTCCTCTGATGACATAAAAATTTGGAGACCCATACAAAGTATGTCGGATAGGATAGTATTACAGGATGATCTTAGCTCATTGGTGGCATGGTTGGAGAGGTGATCACCAGAAGTAAATTCTAATAAGAGTGTAGTGATGCAAATAAATATGATGAATCTGTAGAATTATGGTCTACTATGATATTAGTACTGCTCTAACAATAGACCTAATCCTAAAATTGTAGATTCGTCATGATATAACTGCCTAATCTATAAGATCTTACGTGGAAGTCACACCATCGACTACGCCAACTCACTGTATCGTATCAATTACCAATACATGATGTAGAACAACGTTAGGCTAGAGAAGGAACAGTATATTTAATACGAATAGAAGATATAAGATAACATTCAGATGGACCACGCCTGCATGGCCGAGCCATGCCATCCGATTAAACCCAGTCCATTCAATTCATTGTTCGCGCCTTCTTTATTGTTAGGTATTTCTCCGCGTTAAATATTGAATATCTATTTTCTGAGTAGTCTCGTGTTCACAGCTTTGTGGACTGTGTGGCTATTGTCCAATGCCACTACACTACTCTCCCACCAGAATCAACGTGATGTTGGTTCGATACCAAATTGGATGGGATCGTCGCGCGCCGGAGGTTACCAAGGATAATAAGAATCCTCCGGGTATTGGTAAGCTGAAAGATAAATCAAAAAGAAAGCGGCAGCATCTGGTCGGGAAATACCTGTAATAATTTTTAAAAAATCTGCCTTCATGCTTAACACGCTTAAAATGAAAATGTGGGTGAAGATTATTTGAGCTATAAAAAATGGGACTACAATAATAATAATAATAATAAAGTGATGCGTGTTAATAGCCGTTGGTTAGTAACTTGACGTATAGGTAGTAATTATTTTGTGTTTAGAAATATTAAAAGCAATTAATATTGTAGAAATGTTGATATTGGTATTAGTTTTGGTTTAAATTATAAAATCAAATAACGTTCATGCTAGTAAGTTGTCCATGAGTTGATTTTCAATTGCATTTGTATTAGTAGGCTAACTGAAAGAACAAAAGTATTACCGTGGAGAAGAATTCCAACTAGTGTTCCAGTTAGTTTGATACGGTTTATTTAGTTACGGGGAGATTTTCTCAACCTCATTTTTATTTGACCGTGATAGAACTTAGTAATACTACTAATACACATGAATGGTTATCAAAACAAAATTTAAAGACGTTAGTGATAATTGTACGAATTTCGGACAGATAGCTAAGAACAAATCGTTAAACATGAGTGTATTCGTAAGAGACATGCTCTAGACTCAATGTTCTGAGTTGCCATAGTCTATTTATACATATTTATACCTGACGGCTGATGACGCATACAAGTTAGTTGCAAGTATGCAGTTTATCATAAGGCGGAATACGATTTAATTGAGATATAGTGGTTATAAGTTATTAAAATCAGTTAAGCCTATGAATCATATTACGAAGTGATGTGGTGCTGCAAGATGTATTTAGCTAAATAACTTTTTACAAGATGATTAATAGTGAGTGATGCTCATGTGATTAACAGGGAGAACATAAGTTGTAACCAGGGGGAGTACACTCCCAACTCATGTCTATGATAATGGCTTGAATTTTAGTCAGTGTTGGGGTAAATTCGACATTGATGTTTTCAGTTTGCAGGAGATTTGCTCGACTGCTTATACTGATTATTTGCATGCAGGATTGTGTCGCTAAACCATCAATTAGACTGACAAGGTTTTGAGATATTTACTGAGTGAGCATCTGATAGAGAAACATACTGTAATCATCTGTAGTGAATGAAGATGAAAGAAAAACAACACTAGTGATAATTATAAGTCAATTTGCTGACTGATTTCGTTAATAGTTTCATTAATTTTATCAATCATATTACGTGATTGTCAAGTCATGACAATGCTTTATGACGATATCCTGAAACTATTACGTTTAACTAGTTATAGTGTTGATTATTAGTTGATATTAGTACTGCTCTAACAATAGACCTAATCCTAAAATTGTAGATTCGTCATGATATAACTGCCTAATCTATAAGATCTTACGTGGAAGTCACACCATCGACTACGCCAACTCACTGTATCGTATCAATTACCAATACATGATGTAGAACAACGTTAGGCTAGAGAAGGAACAGTATATTTAATACGAATAGAAGATATAAGATAACATTCAGATGGACCACGCCTGCATGGCCGAGCCATGCCATCCGATTAAACCCAGTCCATTCAATTCATTGTTCGCGCCTTCTTTATTGTTAGGTATTTCTCCGCGTTAAATATTGAATATCTATTTTCTGAGTAGTCTCGTGTTCACAGCTTTGTGGACTGTATGGCTATTGTCCAATGCCACTACAAATCGTATCAATATACAATATGTGGATTCGTGCTACCCAAAGTAAGAAACTATAACGATTTAGGAGTCATATTAAGCAGTGATCTCAAAACTACTAGCCACTGTAAGGCTGCTGCTGTGAAAGGCTATGGGGTATTATGGTCAATTCGTAGGTCTTTCCAGTATTTAGATAATGAAATGTTTAGATTATTATACCCGATTTATGTGGGACCAAATTTTGAATATGGGATTCAAGCAGCGAGTCTTTGTTTCCTGTATGAAGCAGGGATGCTGTAAAAAGTCCAACGACGAGGTACTAAGATGGTACTGGGTCTATCTAGCCTATCTTATGAAGGCAGACTGAGACACCAACTTATTTCCGTTATCTTACCGTAGAGTACGTGGTGATCTATTATTGGCCTATCGTATACTGAACGATGATCTTGGTATTAACATGTTTTATCTTTTACTTCCGTCTAAGACTGATCATTTGAGAGGACATTCGAAGAAAGTTCAAAAACCGAGATCAAATTATTTAAGTCTGAAGTTTCGTTTCTCGCAATGAGTAGTAAATACTGAAATTCTCTACCTGAACACGTAATACCAGCATCCTCTGTTGATATATTCAAAACGATATTTGACCTCTACAGTATTACAAACTGCAAGGATTATTATAGGTCGATAGACCTCCTATCCTTATTACTGAAGATTGAAAACTGACCTACTTACCAGCGCAAAGTATAAATACTTGAAGATTCCGCCGAGTTCGTGATTTGAATGCATTTGTGGTATGGTTCGGGTTACTGATATTTATATCTATAGAATTTTTAATATTTTTGCACCGCATTTCGTTGCATTGTACCAAATCAAACCTTATCCTCTTGACAGCGATACCGTCTGATGTCTTGGTTTAGAAGTCTCTGTATAAACGCAAGTCGATTTCACAAAGTGTGTCTCCCTTTATTATGCACATGGAACCGTAGAAATGAATCGGTAAAATGTTGTTTTGCATGCACAAAAAGAATAGATTTTGTCGTAAATATCTTTATTTACGTCCGCTTAAATTCTCATTATTCCCAATCTAGAGGCCGAAAGATTTGCATTTCTTCTGGTAATGAAAATAAAACCGTAAGGCTTTTAACTTTCAAATAGCATAGCTGATGCCTGCTTATGGTTGCTAACTACACACTTACTTAGATCACGGTCAATGGCCAGATGTCGATTAGCATCTTCCCATCGAAAACGTCCACAATCACGTACTACCTTTATTATTATTATTATTGCGAGGTTTTTCTCTTTATATTAGTGTCATTAAACATTGATAACCACTTCAGACGCCTGAGTAGATTACCTCCATAAGGCTGCATATAAAGACAACTTAGGATTCTGAGCTTGGAACTTAATGTCTTTAGCTGATAGCTGCTTTTTGCGTGTAGTTAATTGTCATGCCATGCGTCCTATGCCCCATACCTATAGTACTCAAACAGTATTTTGCCGAAAACCTAATTGTCTGCACTTCCTATATACGTATACAGTAGCCCCACTATTGGGGAACCTGATATATTCGACCTTCGAGTGACTGTTTTGGCAGCGAAACATACATAAAGTAGGACAACGGTTTTAAATGTTCTGGTTGATAACCTAGCACAAATTTTATCTTGAATTTTTAGTCCAATGAGTGCATCACTAGTCATTGTCAGCACTAATTCTCACTAAGTTACCTTTACACATTTTATGGTTTCTCAAGTTTTTTTTTACTATACACAGTTTATATCTATATTAACGCCTAATTATAATTATTTGTGACACGTTATTAAAATGTCAGCTCAAATGTGCTAGTAGTTCTTGTTACACGTTTGTAGTGAAGTTGGTCCATTAGGACTTACGCTTCTTACAGCACAAAATGTTTCATACATCTAAGTAAACGATGTTGTTTTAATTGCATGTCAAACTGTGTAAGTAGTTTTTTGTTCAGTCAAGTTTGTGGGCTCATTTGTTTTTTCTTTGCTAACATTTGAATTTTTTATTGTTTCAGCCATGCACCATGCCTCCAGTTGATGGAACATCCCAATGGCTACGAAAAACGATAGATTCAGCGGCTGTAATATTATTTAGCAAGACGACTTGTCCTTATTGCAAAAATGTTGGTGGTCGATTTTCGTTCATGTATTTTATTTTGTAGGTGAAGGATGTTTTGGCTGAAGCCAAGATTAAGCATGCTACAATTGAACTAGATCAATTATGTATGTCAAAATTCTCTTTTATTCCGTTTTTAGCAAATGGTTCGGCCATCCAGAAGTCCTTAGCCAGCTTCTCGAAAATTGAAACAGTTCCTCAAATGTTTGTTAGGGGCAAATTCATCGGTAAGTTATAGGAAACTCCCTGATGAGTTGTTCAAGGGGATTCTCAGATGGTACTAAAATACCACCGTAATAATGAACTGACGAGTATTGTCAATGAAAGCAAGTATGACTATGATTTGATAGTCATCGGTGGAGGATCTGGTGGACTTGCTGCTGGAAAGGTACTTCTTTCTTTCTGTTACTATAGATATCAAACCTTTTTTCTTTGTACGTATTCTCATTAAATTGAATACATTTTAAAGGTACTTGTTCATTCAATAGCTACAGCATCCTCAGATGACTAAATTTATCAAGTAAGCATGGTTCACGTTTTAATCAGACCTCGAATATCAACCAATAAATGGGGGCTCAAGTGAGCAGAATAAACGTCTGACGTTTGAGTCTCTTCCATCTGGAAGCAGGCTAAGAGAGTTAACGCGAATAAATTTCATCAACTCTTTTTTATACGTCTTAATTCAAACCGACTGAGTGTAACTTATAAATAGCTTATCAAAAGCTCTTATGATGACTGCTAAGTCTGTTAAAGGTCATATGACGGAAGTGTGTGGTTTTTTGTACTAGGTTCAGAAATAGTTTTGTCCACTCTAGTTTTCAACCACCATTGCCAAATATGAAGTAGCATACATTTATGTGAATAACACTGAATTGAAAAGACTAACAAATACATCCTAAATATATCTGGTTCCACACTGTTTGCATAAAAGACTTGTGTTGTATCTCCAAACAGTGTCGTCATCTGCATATCTTGTAGGGTGGAAATCAAGTGAACCATTAACATTAGAAGGATGTTTATGACAACGTGCAAATTAAATTAAAGTGGAAATTAAACAGTCTTGATCGACAGTAGCAGGTATATCTAATTCCAATTGTAGCTCATCGTGAGCTGACTCGATTGCTAGTGTCCATATAGAAAGTTTTTCCTAACATGATTTATTTGTCTGGAAAAACTCAATGAAAAACTTTGTCTCGAAACATCTGCACTGAGTAAGTCAAAACAACCGTCGGTTCAAGAAATACAGATAAAGGATCAACTCTCATACTTTCCTGTACACTCATTTGTTTTGATTTTGGATAACTTGTGTAACCTGCACCGTATTCAGCCTTAGTAATACAGATACTTTCATTTGCTGACTTTCTTTAAACCTATGACTTTATTAATCCTTCGTTTTGTTTGCTATTTTTGATTGGTGTCTGCCCAGTTTACGTAGGCTTGTTCACTTTCGTTGATTTCCGCCTTATGCTTTTGCAAAGAGTACAAATTTAACTTAACTTTTCTGATTAATCTGCATCTTTTACAGACCGCAACAGTTTTTGTAAAACTAAGGTTCCATTTCAGTACATATTTGCGTGTATTCTGTTCCAAAAGCGTTCGGCATTAATGCGTTGTTCAGTGCTACTTTAGCGTGTAATGAAACTATCTCAACCACAGAACGTTGGGTTTTGCTACGGCTATTACTTTCATTGTGTAATATGTACTACCTAAAATATTTCTCTAGAACCATTCTTATTTTATGTAAATATTGAGTAGGATGATCATTTTGAGTGGTTAGCTTTTAGTAATCGGATTCGTATTTCTTGTTTACTTCTGCCATATGTCACCTAATGACAAGAAATACTTTATATTCGGGAATAACTCACAGTGAACATTAAATAGTGCAATTGATTGTAGGCTTTTAGGAGGTTCTTCAAAAGGGTCGTAATTATAGTCTGAAGATAATCGGTCAAACAATGGAAAATTGTTCTCAGTAGTTGATTTCAATTCACGGCTCATGTGCATTTTCCAATTTGTGTTTCCTCTGATTTGTGAATCGTATCATTTTTTTATTTTGGAGAGGCATTAGAAACTAACCGAAATTACATCAGAACCAACCATATATCTATCCCAAAGTCATCCATTCATCAACTAAGGAAAGGTTAAAATCATAACCCTTATGGCTCGTGTGTATTCACACCGTTCCTGGTTTAGACTCGTTTCTATCGTGAATGTACGAATATCCCAATCGATTTCAGTGGGGCTAAGGGAGTCCTATTTCTGCTTATCAGTCACCCAGTCATCAAAGCCGTAGAACTTGGCAGATAGGTACATCAGTCCAAGTTGCCACACCACATCAACATAAGAGAATCGAATTAATAGAGTAAATACCAAAGTACTAGAAGTATTAGTTATCGTAAAAGGGAATGAGCATAAAAATTATGATTCGAAAAGAAATAATTAATTGGTGGAATAAGTGGTATAAAATAACTTCAAGGTTTCAAATCAAAAGAATGACAAAGTGTGGATCCATCTGTTCCATTGTGACCGATGCGAAACTGTTCCCAACCACTGGTCACAACAATTATATGAAGGGTCTGAATCGTTCATTGAGTTACGCTGTCATATACTGAACTCGCAGGACGTGTACTCTAATTTCAATGTCAGGGCCAGCCAATGTAATTTCTAGTTTGATTTGTTGTAAAATGTCAGTACATGTTATTCTTGTTTTCTATCCTTTAGGAGGCTGCTAAATACGGTGCGAAAACAGCCGTTTTGGACTTTGTAGAACCTACTCCAATAGGTACCACTTGGGGATTAGGTGGGACGTGTGTAAACGTCGGATGTATCCCGAAAAAATTGATGCACCAAGCTGGACTCTTAAGTACGTTTTTCAATGAATCGTTTCGGTATTTAGTCATTATTCTTTAGTAAATAGGATAGCTATAACCTAAACTTTCAGTGTGATTTAAATGGTTTCACGAAGCGGTCGTGGCTCTCTGAATTTTAATTTTCATGAGGATAGCACCTATATGAAATTTACATTTTTCGGCACAGCCTTATCACACATATTTATGTGCTCTAATGATATGATGTTTTTATGATTGATAGGTCATGCTTTGGAAGACGCAGAACATTTCGGATGGAGTTTGGATCGATCGAAAAGTAACGTTTGTTTTTCTTTTTTGTTCAACCTCCTTCTAATACGAAACTTATCACCACTTTTTAATAATTAATTTTTCTAAACATCCATTCATTGTGGTTCATTGAAAATCTAGTCTACTAGATATAAAACATCAGTGTTGTATTTTCACACATAACGTGATAGTCTTCAGATGAAATTAAACTAACAACATGATGGCTCATTTGTTTCTAAGTAAAATGATCACACAATTTTCGTTAGACTCGCTATAGTCGGTATTTACCATCATCTGTCTTCGTAATTAATGTTTATAAGATTTCCACTAAGATAAGTGGCTTACTTTCACAGATTACTTTTGGTTCGGTGATGTATTGATACGAAAACCCACAATGTTTATTAAAATCTTAAGAAACAAATCAGAAAATTAGTAGTCTAATCTAGGGCTAATAGTTCCATTGTGTAGTGTGTTTCATTAACAGATTGACTTAACAGTATTTTCTATCATTCGCCAAGTTCTTGTCTGGTATTTATTAGTCAAATAAGGGGATCTCTAATTATTGTTACTGACTAGTTCTTGCCAGGTTGTTTTACAATCCTTAGTTTTTCAACTACATTATTTAAAATGAAGCATATTAGTGACTACATTAAGACATGTAATTTGTCATCGGCCTTAACTTGTGAAAATATTAACTGTCTATTACTTGCCGACCACTATGTACTTCAGTAAATGATTTAGACTTTCGAAATAACTGAGGTAAGGAATAGGTTGACTGAAACCTTATACCTGTGTGTCTTATAATATCGGATACTTCGTTTTTAAACATATTTACATTCTTTTGGACAGTTTTTATCAACTACAAGTGATATTAGTGTAGTGAACGAGAACACAAGTGGAGACAACTAAATGTATTTGAATAGAAAATTACAGAATATCTTCGTATGATCTGAGAACCATACAGTAAATACTTCATTTGCAAAGTGTCAATCAATCATCTCAGACTTTTTTGTTCCTTCATTTCCACACTAATCATTCTCTGTTCTCGTTCTCTTTTCTTCGATTTTTTTTTAACCTTCTGCCCCCAGACATTTCACTTCCTATTGTTGATACATACTACTTCTATCCGTAGAAATCAGTAGCACACACCACATGCGACACATTAGCCATCTGTAACTTCCCAGAGGGATTACTATTTTGCCTAGCCCTAGCAATTGCGAATAATAGTTCAAAAGTTTTAATAAACGGAATTCATAAAAGATATGCTTCAAGGCTTTTAGTGGTTAATGTTCCTTTCTGTGGTGACAATAGCCTAACAAACTATAGCACACTGATGACTCATTTATTTTCTATCTTTACATTTTGAACTCACTTGGTATTTATCTATTTTTGATATGTACCTCTTATAGCCTGATACTGTATAGATGAGCATGATATATTTTATTATCGACGTGTATTAAATACTTACATGGGTGTGATAAGTTAGAGCCTTATGACCCTTTTTCCTAAGGATTTTCCGAAATTATGGTTTGAAATCACATATACATTTTATAAGGTATCATATAAAAAATTTAAACTGTTGTGTTTCCATTACTGCTAGCATTATGTCTTCTAATTTCAGTTTCGCATAATTGGTCAACTATGGTTGAGGGGGTTCAAAGTCACATCGGTTCTTTGAACTGGGGTTATAAAGTTGCACTAAGAGATAATCAAGTCACGTATCTGAATGCTAAAGGGATGCTTATAAGCCCTCATGAGGTGCAGGTATGTTTTGTTTGGGTAAACATCCTAAAATATTTGTTTAAGGTCAATTGTGTACCTTATTTCCGATTTTTTTTGGAATTTTTATCATTGTTTATTTCACTCAATTTCCAAATCTTGAGGTAATTTTACAGAAAATGTTGTTCATTTATTTCATGTCTAAAGTTTAAGCAGATGTGGAGTTTAATAAACAGTTGTGAAGAGCAAACACATAAGTTTCTAAACCTAGTTCTTGTTATTGAAGGCATACCTACAATGTTAATGTAAACTTGTGTTACACACTAAGTATGGATAAATATGTCTGACTACTATATGTTAAGTTCAGATATTATTTTCAGTTGATGTTTTTGTTATTTACCTTCCCTAGTTTACATCTTTTGGATGGGACTAGTTTCTATATGATTTCGTCGTTGAGCTACATGATAGTTTGAGTTTATTTTTAAACCATATTTAATGACCTCATTTTTTAAATACGACCTTCCTGAAGCTGAGTTTTTTAATGCTTAAGATAATATTCGAACGCACAATACAATGTACCATGGACTTCGAGAGTCTTAGTGTTGTATTCCTATAGGTGGAATTTCAACATCTAATGAATACCCTCTGTTTTTTTTTTCAAAATTTGTGTTAAATCTAATTTTATATCGGGTACTAATTGTCTGTTATCGTGGTATGAAAACCAAACAATTGTGATGTCAAATTTTCCTTAAAAATCTTCACTCCATACAGATTACAGATAAGAATCAAAAAGTATCTATAATAACTGGAGACAAAATTATCTTAGCTACTGGTGAACGTCCAAAATACCCAGAAATACCTGGAGCGGTTGAATATGGGATTACAAGGTTTGTTGTATTTTCTTAAATCATTTTACTGGTTATGTTGATGTGTTTATCAATACATCCATGCGCAACAAGAAAATAATATGTGGATAAGTTGTTATGCATTTAGCTTTATTGAATATAATCATGTATCCATTTGGTCCTTTACATATCTAGTCCAAATGTTTGTTGAATTTGATTACATGTACATTGCTCATATAGTTTCCTGATGTATACTAAATGAACTACCTATTTATTTTACCTACTACTAATAAACTGGTTAACAGTTGTCTGTTTGGTGATTTTGTGGTTTCCATTAACCAATAGCCTTGATTTTTGTCCAATGTAAACCATATTTTCAAGTATTATTTGGTTATCTTTGTTAATCTTTGACGGCAACACCCAGCTTTATGTTGCCGTAAACTTGATGCTAAGTGAGTAGCTAGATGATTTTATTGTTCACTTTTCATATTTGTTGCGTAATAAGTTTTTTGAGATAATCTTGATCTCATTTGGTGTAAGATGAAGCGTAGTTGAGAATTTAGTCATCTTATTTAGAGACTAAGTGCCGAGGGGTTCTCTTAATTCTGACTTTTTCAAACACCCCATATATCGTTTTTCTCACCCTAACATTATCTAGTCGTTTGAATACCCTACACAACAATGTGTTTAGGACTGATTCAGAAAACTCACTTGGTTTTTTGCGAACATACGTTAGTTGTGACCTTGGGAAGATGTCTATGTACCTATCAAAGGATGAATTCATTGCATGATGAACCGCTCTGTAGTACGCTACGTCTGGGAAACACGGTTTGTGGGAATCGATAACGTCTGTAGGCTACAGGCTTTTAATTGTAGATACCTCCAAAGCATAGGCCGCGTATAGTGAGACTTAGTGAGCAATGCTGGAGTTGGATAAAGTTGAGAAATCATTTGGTGAGGTTGTAAATCTTCATTGATTGACCTAACTGGAATTTGTGCTGTGTATACCCAACAACCAGCTACCCGGATGTGCAATGTTGGCTAGAGTATAAATGAGTTAGAAAACTAGAAGGTAAACCAAGACATAAGTTCACGAAGTCACTGGCTGTTGGTCTTGATCTTGCTATGCTGTTATAAATTGTACGATTTGTATAGATACGAATATCTGCCGGATGCTCACTTTTGTTCGCTTACCGATTTATACAGAGTGAGTGTTTCTGCTACTCTAGATTCAAGTTGATTCAATATTTATGCCAGCCATAAAAATTATTTATTTTATCTAAGCATCGCACAAAATTATGTTGCTTACTAAGTTGAGTTGGGAAACACACTATATGCATTTGTGAATCGCTTAACCTTTTCAGCGATGATTTATTTTCTTTGCCATACTTCCCGGGCAAAACACTAGTCATTGGAGCAAGTTACGTTGCACTGGAATGTGCTGGTTTCCTTGCTAGTTTAGGCGGTGATGTTACCGTTATGGTTCGTTCCATTTTACTTCGTGGTTTTGATCAACAAATGGCTGAAAAGGTTGGTGACTACATGGAGAATCATGGAGTCAAGTTTGCAAAGTTATGTGTACCAGATGAGGTTAGTAATGTATTTCTTAAATAATTCCAAAACAAAATAATGAAATGTTTATAGTTTAATGGAAAAACATTTAAAGTATAGGCTTTTGCTGCTTAATTATTTCTTATCATATTTATTTGAACACATAAATGTTGGTACAAAGGGGCACCGAATACATATAAGTCACTTGATTTGTGTATGGGCTGTGGTACTGCTTGGGTCTCCAGGCCGAAGCAGGTGGTTTTTTTAGGGGTCACATACAGGGCCTTCGACCTAAAGGTTTGATCCATAAGGCAGTGGGGCAACGTCAGGAGATGCAGTCCCGTGGTAGCCAGTGACCAGTAATTGGTTCAGATGCCAACTGTTCCCTCAGGATACTGTAGCCCATGTGTATTATTGGTTTGGAATCAGGGTTTCCCGACTCCCGTAGGTGGACTCACTGTGTCCACTGGCCCGGTTAAAGCGCCGGACATTCACTTTTCGTCCTCTCAATTTCGTAAGCAACATCCTCACCACGAGAAGGCAGTGAGTATGACTTCCCTGGCTCAACAATATGTTAGTATTTATAATAATAATTCTCCATAAAATTAGAAACTTTACCCTACTGAAAAGGGCTGATTACTGATCAAAGAAAGCAGACATGTTATTTGAATAAATTTTATCTCAATCCTAAAATTATTTCGAATCCTTACATTCTTGTGACTCAACCAGAGAAGCCACAACCTTTAAATTAAAAAATAATGTTATATTGGCAATCTCCTAAAATTTTGAATACAGTAGTCTTGGGCTATTCCCAGTAATCTTAACGTTAAGTTCGTCTAAGGATCACTAGTGTAATATTACTACAATTAATTTAAATAAATCTCGCCAGAATTGTTGATCCTATTTACTCTCTGAGTTACCAACTGTTTCTGGCAAACTAAAGTTGTGTTCATCATATCATTTCGGCTAAGCAAAAAAACTTATTAGTTTTTTTATTGACAATATACTTTCCTTGCTTAGATATATTTATATATCGACTGCTTAAAACTACTTAGAAGGACAGAAAGTTTGTGTTTAATCAGTGTAGCTCTACTTATTTTGTATAAATTAAAAGAAAATTTAGGCTATTATCAATCATTTTTCCTAATTTCTTTCATTTAGAATACTTTTCCATTTTGATTTAAATTATCTTCATTTAGTTTTTGAGAAGCAATCTTGGTTATCAATAGTATTTGAAAAGTATGAAATTTAATGTACCATTAAAATTCTAATGAGTTTCTATAATTTAAATATTTACCTAGTAAAAATGTATTGGTAATAATTTCAAAGCAGTACTCTTATTTATAAAGTATAATTGGCCTTTTTTCTCTATCATTAGATCAAACAATTGAAAGCAGTAGATACTGAAAATAATAAGCCTGGACTTTTGCTTGTTAAGGGTCATTATACCGACGGTAGAAAGTTTGAAGAAGAATTTGAAACGGTATGTTTTTACATCAAATCCATATTCTTTCTCAAACGTTTTGCATTAATATTACGATAATTCTATCATTTTATTAAAGGGAAGATCATTCTTAGTAATTGACAAGATGTTTGACAGATTCATGTATGTTCTTGTGTGTTACATTTTCTTTACGCTTCCTAAGGTTATTAATTACTTCATTTGATTAGTTATAAGCACAAATTGATTGACAAAATGATTAGAATACTAATCAATTGATAAGGATGTAGCTAGCTGATAACTGCTAATGGGGATAAATGTGCTCACTTGTTACATTCATTGATATTTCCATAAACGTAACATTTGATCACATAATTACAGCTGTTTTCACTTTTTATATTGAAGAATGTTAAGTGGAGCAGATATGATTCATTGAAATCACTGGACGCATTTACAAGTCGATTCTCTGTCTATTATGATATCTTATTTGAACTATTAAAATGAGTTCTTATTCATTCAATTTTAAGATTCCATTGAATCAAATTACTGACAGTTCTGTAGTTTTATTTTACTTTTTCTTAACATCCATCACTCAGTCAAATAGTTAATGCTCGATTAGTTGTTAGCAATCCCCATCATCTTCAGTTTTGAGTTATCTACTTTTTTAATTGTATGTTATATACTATGCTGATTCATTTACCAGGTACTTGGGTATAAGCCACATTGTAAGCTTAAGGAGTTATGATGCTGCCTCGTCTCCTAAACTAAATTAGATGGAGCGGAGTTCGAGACCGGAATTTAAGGGTCGGAAGTCAATACCTTAACTACTAAACCTTTTTCCACTTACAATACTATATTATACCAACATTTTATGTTCGACTCATCACCTATACAACAAACTAATCATTTTAATGTAAATACATCAAAGTTTCAGGTGATTTTGATCATAAATCAAATATAACGGTTGCAATAAGGTCAAATCTATTGTTGTTTCTATTCCTCAATATTCGCAACCTCGGAATCCGTAGACATATTCCTAATTAAATTCTGTTAGTGACTACATAGATTAATGGCGTCATTTGATCACATTGCAGTACAACCAATGGTTAGTTTTTTCAGACTTCTCATTTCATTCTGCGTTATTTGGTGTTCCGTAGTCATATAGGTCAGTACTATACTGTTCTGTTCATTGATAAATTGACTTCTTGATAACGTTATAACTAGCAGAAGCAAGCATATATTTCGTTTCCTTAAAAGAATTTCCTTAACAACCCTTATCTTTTTTGTTGAATGTAATTTTCTCTTTTTATACTGTTACAAATTGTAACAACTTAAACTGCTATACTTTTCTACCAGGTTTGGCCCTAATGTCTGTATTTGATGATCAGTTTGCTATCTGTTGTTTTGCCTGATTTCCTCAGCCTGTTTGAATGTATACCCATACTAAACCTTAATAAGTTCAAAACCAAGAATCAAACATCTTAAGCTGTTTCCTCAATAGTTCCTCGCTTAGAAAGACTGCGGTCAGCATACTAGAAATCAAATTCCTGTCGAGTATATTGGGTTCTCGAGTTTCTAAGTGTTGTAATTTAAATCTTTTTACTTGTTCGCAAATTAGTTAGGAAGATTGATACATGAGAATTAGCATAAACATAAGTTGGTCCAAGTTATTAAATGAATGATAAGAATAGTAATTTTGTGTAGCCAAACAGTTAATGATGTTTTTTTAACAAAATACTCACACGAATTGATTATTACGATTTTAGGCACATCAAATAATTGTAGTATATCACTCATTTAATGTACTTTGTAACTAATCATTTTGTTAAATCTCGGTGTAACACTATTTCAGTGAATTGTGAAAAATCTATCATAGGTAGATTACTGTTGATATCGTCATATTTAGTAACATAGATAAAACCACGCAACATGATGATAATAATCTAATCAGTCATCTTTATCTTGTAGGTCATTTTTGCTGTTGGTCGTGAACCACAATTATCGAAGGTTCTTTGTACAACCGTGGGTGTTAAACTAGACAAGTAGGTTGTAATCAGTGTTTTGAGTTTTTAAAAATACGGTTTTTCGACATATTAACACAAACTGATATCAACTACTGAAATAATAAAAACTGGTGAGCACTACATTGTTGTTTCATTCTGAATTGGGAATGCTTGCAGGTGCACACTCATAATCCCTCATCCATGACCAATTCCAAAATATTAAGTGTCATTGTGTGATTCTGTTTTACTATAAAGTCAAAATTTAACATTTCAAACTATAACTTCATTCGATTCACAATATACAACTATCATAATTTAATATCATGATGTAAATACTCCTCATCCCCGACTTGATTTACTACAGGCCATGGACGTCTCAATAAAGATTTGGGGTATCCATCTCAGAACAAGTCATACATGATGATCTGATCATTATTCAGTTTGGTCTTTGATTTAACACTGAATTATCTTGTTGATAAGCGGGAAAACTTACCATTTGACTGATACTTTTAATAAATAACTACTATATCGACAATCGATTTCCCTCATCCATTTTTCCTTACTGAATTCTCCTTGATTAAACAATATATACGACCATTCACTAGAAAGTGATTATAGAAATGGGTAGATGATGGTTTAACGTTAAAGCTAGAGTAGCTCATGTTTTTAACACATATTGAGCAAATATATACTACTCTAATTGGTTAATAACTAGATTTTAAACAATATACCTTTTTTTGCTTTACAACAGGTTAGTTAATTAACTAATACGGTGATAATACAAAAAACGCCATAACAGATCTGTTGATGGATTATCATGTAAATCTAATTTCTAAATACTTGGTTACTTAAGTTTTTATTACTACGAAACAATAACCGATTCACAAGTTTGATCCTTACCTAGTAGTATTTGTAAATGACTCATGTGATTATATAAATAAAATAAATCAATCTTTTTTGTATGCGAAACTGAGTAACATTTGTAGTAAATTAACTCTAATTCACGGTAGAAAGGGATTTGAAGGGTGAAGAAGTCAAAAAAAGTTTACTATTAAAACTAAATGCATCGAAGAGAGCCTATGCAAATTTCTCATTTCTCTTTTCTTTCTCCAGTTGAATATCTTACGTAAAATATCTTAAAATTGGTCATTTTTGTAGATGCTTGTTTTCTAACTTTTGAATGTATGATCACTTTCTATTTGTTTGACTTATATCCTTATTTATTTTCATTGCTATCTCTGTCTCTGTTGCTTGTAAGTATAGCAAACTGAGACTATCGATGTTCCTATGAGATTCTATGTTATTATGCCAATTTGAACATGATGGCAGTTAGGCTTTCTCATTGGTGTTTATTTGAGAGTTGGTTGTAATAATTCAATTGTTTGTCTAGTTTCGTTTGTTACTGGGGTACATGTCCAGTATATAGTTAATTCTGTACTAGTTTCAAGAACGGTTTATTGTAATAGCTTCATTTTGTTTGATTTTTCATAATTGAAATGTATAATCATTCAGGGATGGTCGAGTTGTATGCACAGATGATGAACAAACTACAGTCAGTAATGTTTATGCCATCGGAGATATTAATGCTGGAAAACCACAACTAACTCCCGTGGCTATTCAAGCTGGGCGCTACTTGGCTAAACGTTTGTTTGCTGGTGCAACTGAACTAGTAAGTTTAAACTATAAAACTCACAATTCTTCAAACTTCGTTTTATCCATTCATTTTAATTCAAGTTTCTAATTATTGCTCACCGTACATTCGTTTTCTGTTAAAGCAATATATAACACAGCTAAGTTTGACCATCCGGAAGGCATAAAACTTCCGTACTTCGCAGTAAATAAATGATCTTAAGTGAATGACTGATTGAATATCACTAACTCTATCTACGTTCATATTCTTGACTTTCAACCACATGTTGCTATATAGATAATAAATAAATATCCCATCTTCATGATCAAACAAAAGAAAATATAAGACCTTTGATTAGCAGACTGTTTTGTTTCATTTATCAGCACCAGACTATATAGTTTTTTACATCTATATATTTTTCATAATTGTTTCTGTTTGTATATATTCTCATTTAGACTGACTATTCCAATGTTGCTACAACTGTTTTCACTCCACTTGAATATGGGGCTTGTGGATTGAGTGAAGAAGATGCAATTGAAAAATATGGTGATAAGGATATTGAGGTATGTCTGGAAATATTTTATTGCCTCTTTTTCTTAATGGAAAATCCATTACTGGCCACGATTTATAAATTTTATCGAAACCTAGAAAATGATTGTTCTCAAAATGCTGACATTGAAATAAACCTTTTATAATGTTAGTCTCATTGAATTCGGTCAAATACAGTAACAACTCACAGCACAGAAATACATTAACAAATCACATTCGTTCAATAAATATCTTCCCCGTTAGCCACCATCATTTTGTTTTAATAATTGATTATAGGTATCATGTTAAAAGATCTTAACACATTGTGACATTGGAACAAACGAAAATCATATGAATAAATCTTCTGACAAAAAGATCACTACGGTGAATATTTACGCACTAGAAGAAACCAATTTATGTATAAATCAAATAATCGCTATACTAGATGATTAAATCATTAAATCAACCTAGTTTACCGGTGGCATGATTGGTGTCATTCATGATCCCTATTTTCATTGGCCAATACAAATGTAACGTGTATGAAATTAATGACTGCACACCTCAAGTTCAGCTAGCAATGTTAAATTAATATTTTTATCAAGCTGTCATAATAAATCATTTATTCAATACAAAGCTGTCATTGTTGAGAGATATCTAGCCTTACTACAACGAATTCGTCTATCGAGTGTTCACCATATAATGCCACAATCCTGATGAGAAAGTTAATTTGTACAGTGTTTCAACAAAATTTTTATTTGTACTTGCTTTTTGGTAGTCATGCAGTCGAACAGTGTTTGTTCACACCACTGTAATCACTGATTAGTTGTCTCTGGGTTTAGTGCATGAAACCTTCCAATATCTATTTCTTATTAGTGTAAACTTCCAGCTTTTTGCATTTCCACCGAACAGTAGCAATAATCAGTTGCAAATATTTTTCTGGATACATTATTATATTCGTAACTAAAACATAAGTCTCAGCATACGAAAATATTTCTTACTCTAGTTATATTTATAGTATCTAAATGCGAATATTTAAATAAATATTTATCAAAACAGTTTTTTTAGAATGTTCCACATTTAACAGTAAGTTTCATTATTAGATGTAACTACTGTTATTCTGTTTCACTGTGATCGTTTCTGCCTTTTTAGGTGTATCATTCAAATTTTAAACCTTTGGAATGGACTGTCGCTCATCGTGAAGATAACGTTTGTTACATGAAACTTGTTTGTCGTAAATCTGATGTAAGTTCATATACAAGGTTACTTTTGACCACACCAAATTCATTTGAGCTTATTATACTTCATACAAAAGCTATCGAACTGTTAGTTCTTTGTTTTAACTGGGATTATAATGCATTTTGGCACTTATTATTTGTGAGGGTGTGTCAAATAAATTTAGTGAAAGCATCATTTCGTAATTTTAAAAACAGTGAACTAGCTTATCACTGATTTTTACAAACGACACTTGTACTGAATTACTTACTCCTGTTGCCCCTCGTCGAAGAAGAGCATAGGCCATTTACCAACATTCTCCATCCAACTCGGTCTTGAACAGTCCTTTCTAATTGCTATTCATCCTTTCATGTCTGCTTCCGATTCCCGAAGCAGGGTGTTCTCTGACCTTCCTCTTCTTCGTCTCCCTTCAGGATTCTAAGTTAGCGCTTGCTTCATGATGCAGTTTGATGATTTGCACAATGTACGTCCTATCCACTTCCCATGTGTTTTCCTAATTTCCTCCTCAACTGGAAGTTGGTTTGTCCTCTCTCACATTATACTGTTGTTGATGGTAATCGGCCAACGAACATTGAGTATCTTGTGCAGACAATTGTTTATAAATACTTGTAGATGTTTGGTGATGGTTGTAGTAGTTCTCCGAATTCCGCTCCGTACAATAAAACTGACTGTCTTGACGTTCGTATTGAAGCTTGTGACTTTGATATTGGTTGACAGTTGTTTTGAGTTCCACATATACTTCAATTGTAGGAATGCAGTTCTTGCTTTGCTAATCCTCTCTTTTACATCTGCATCAGATCGTCCTTGTTCATCGATGATGCTGATGAGGTATGTGAAAGACTCCACCTGTTCCAGAGTTTCTCCATCAGGTGTGATTGGGTTAGTGTCCTCCATATTGTATTTGATGATCTTGCTTTTTCCTTTGTGTATGTTGAGGCCTGCTGATGCAGAGACTTCTGCTACACTGGTTGTCTCCATCTGCATTTGTTGGTGTGAATGGGATAGAAGGGCCAGGTGCCAGGTCATCTGTGTAGTCCGAATCGTCTAGTTGCATGCAAGTTGTCCATTGTATTCCATGCTTTCCCTCAGATATCGAGGTCTTCACAATCCAGTCGACCACCAGAATAGTGAGGAAGGGTGAGAGTGATAGCATTGTCTGACTCCAGTCTTCACTTGGAATGCATCTATCAGCTGTCCTCCATGCACCACTTCGCACTGTAGTCCATCGTATAAATTCCGGATAGTGTTGACGATGTTCTCAGGTACTCGATCGTGTCGAAGAGGGTTCGTCTATCCACACTGTCAAATGCCTTCTCGTAGTCGATGTAGTTAATGTATAGTGACGAGTTCCACTCAACTAATTGTTCAACAATGATCAGTATTGTCGTGATTCGGTCAGTGCACGATCAATTATTACGTAATTCACCCTGTCGATCTCGAAGTTGTGTGTCTACTGAATATTTCATCCTGTTCAGCAACACTCTATTGAAGACTTTTCCTATTACTGACAGTAGTGTGATTCCTCTGTAGTTCTCACCCTTGTTCAAATCTCCTTTCTTTGATTTCTTGATGAGATCTCCTTCCATTCAGTCCATCGGTACTTGTTCTTCCTCCCAGATCTTCCTGAATAGAAAATAGTATCATCAGCCTCCCCACCACTTTTAGAGTTCAGCTTAAACCTAAGTACACAAATCGTTGTCTGGTAAATGACTTAGTAATAAATAAATATGAATTGACCAACTCATATATAGTTAATTTATCAATAAGTACTGGATAATGTTCATTAAAGTTTAAGTTTAAATGGGCTGTTAAGCACAACTACCTTTACGCACCATACTTGAAAAAATAAGAGACCATTATTATATTTTTTGATGATCACTTAAGTTTCATCACATTCTGTGTATTTACTATTATGTGTGCTTTTTAACTGGTGTAATTTTTTTATATTTTTATTAAACGTTTTCTTCAATTATGGAGCATCATTTGATAATGAAATGCAGAGGGGAAGCGAACCTGAACTTCCTAAGATAAACAGCACATTTTTAATAGTTCACCATTTTTTTCATTTATTTCGTTTTGTAGCACATGCGTGTACTGGGTCTGCATGTTTTGGGTCCTAATGCTGGGGAGATAACACAGGGATATGCAGTTGCAATTAAAATGGGTGCGACTAAAGCAGATTTCGATCGTACAATTGGAATTCATCCAACTTGTTCTGAGGTTTGTGAATATTGTTTTTTCATTTGCATTGAATCGTTTTCAAGATAAGGCCTATGATTGGGTTTTCATAGTATAAATCAGCCGCACAAAAAAGTTTAATGTCTTTGGAAATCAGTTTTTGTTTTGCTGTTTATATCTTAACATAAATATTCTATTTTACACACAATTTTTTGTATTTTTTCTTCCAGACATTTACAACGTTACATGTAACTAAAAAGTCTGGCGTGTCACCCACAGTGAGCGGTTGCTGAGGTTAATTCCCCACTGAAGCCTTGATCTCTTCCTTCTAATCAACGGGAAGGAAACTGTATTGGGCATTGGTGGGGTTATATAAATATCTGTTACATCTCTTCTTCATTTTCTTCTGAAGGTACCTTCCTATGATCCAAATTCTCAAAAATCTTGTTCCAATACGGAATACTGAGTCTTTGGTGATGTTTTGGTACTGAAAAGAGAAAAGACATAGATTTTTTACACTGCAAAATTTCATATAAATAACTAATGGTTAATTTGTTTTTGAACCAACAATTATCTTAGAAATTACACTTCGTCAATATTTTTTTCATTAATGATTAACAGTTATTTGTAAATTCGACTTAGTATGGTCAGATGAAGTTACTTTACAAAATAAATGTTATGTGACAAAATAACTCTTTTCTGATGTTGTACTTCATTATTGAAATGTGTAAAGCATGTCCCTACAGACCATTTTACTGTGAGATCATTTGCTCAACCATAATCTTTATTTTCAGTGAAACTGATCATTCAGTGAAGTTTATTGTGTAGAGTTAAACATTGTTTTGAAATTCAATACATCAACTTTGGTATGGTCGAGGGTGGGGAGAATCCTCTCTCCCTCTGGAAATGCTCTCACATGACCACGCGTATATAACCACTGTCACAGAAGTCCTACTCATTTCCTCTCGCGGCAGGAGTGTGTTTACGAAATCGAGAGGACGTAAAGCGAATGTCCAGCACCGGTTTGGTGGACGCAGGGGTCCACTTAGGGGAGTTGGAAAACCGTATTTATTTACACATATTTATTTTAACGCATAAATATTGGTGTAAATGGGCAACCCGGTTAAAGCTCTGGATATTCGCTTTTCGTCCTTTCAATTTCGTAAACAACGCTCCCGCCGCGAGAAAGTAGTGAGTAGGAAAACCCTGATTCCAAACCAATGGTGCACATGGGCTTCAGGATCCTGATGGAACAGTTGGCGTATGAACCTATTGTTAATCACTGGCTATCATGAGACTGCATCTCCTTATGTTGCTCCACTACCTTATGGACTAGACCTCTAGGTCAAAAGCCCTCTAAGAAAACCAAGTGCTTCGGTTTGGGCTCCCGGATAGTATTCTAGCCCTCACAAATATCAAATGACAAAGTGTGGCGTATATATATTTGGTGCCTTCTTGAACCAATGTTTATGAATTTAAATAAATGAACATAAATAATTATTGAATGGTTTTACTCTATTGACTTTAAACACTAAGATTTCTCGTCAAGCCAGAAAATATTATATATATACTCATTTTAAGAAGAAAAAAAGTCCTATCGTATAAAATGTGAAGCTTTAACAAGATTTATGCTGGCTACAATAACTAATAAATCTCAATAAATTTTAACTAATAATTTTGATAATTCATTAAAAATTATTTCAATTAATCGAACTTTATTTAATGCTGATTTAATTAAAATATTGCGTCATTATTAGTTCAATAGTAGAGCTGTACTTGAAATGTTACTTCGAAATAAATCTAAAATTCGATAGTTCAATGTATATTTTGATTAGAATTTATGTAAATCATTTTTTTTATAGTGGACTAATGTAACTAAGTGTTGTTTCTAAGGGCATAATTTAAGTTTGTAATTGTAAATCTTTGTTTATGATTTCAATTAAGATCACATAAATCAAATAAACATGTAAATTTAATTTTAAAAAAATGTATTAATCTATAATTCAGAAATAATAAATGAAATTAAAATAATTTTTGATGTATATACTTTCATAGATTCCTTTTAATGCCTGATAAAAATGGTGAAGGTGTTTGTCAGAAAAAAATTGATCAATTCTAGTTTAATCAAACGTAATAAATATCACTTTCAAATGGAATATGAATATTAGAATTAATTCATTCTTGTCATTTATAACTTAGGTGTTTAATTCTTCAAAGTCTCTGATGATCACTGAAATATCATTTACAACCAGGATGTATCAGGTATCTGTTTCAGATTATTTCAGCACTCTATGGTTATTTATATTCACTAGTTATATTGTTTGGCTTGGTTTTATGAAATCTGATATTCTTCATCGGTTTATGTGAATAATTCTTATACTCTGATTATCTACTATAGTAGCATTTTCAAATATTTATTATAACCAACAAGATATTTATATTTCTCTCGTGCTTTGTTAAGCTCAAGAACTTTTCAAACAATTGATAAAAGGAAATTGAAAACCTCTAGATAAGATATAACATCACTGCAAATGGTTAAAGTGCATTCGCACAAATGTAGAATCAGTTTCTGTGAACCTACAACAATGTTTTTGATGTAATGGAACACAAATTCGTAGTTTTATTCAGCTATTGATTCATCTGTCAGTCATAGATGGTAAATTATTTGAGGAATATAAAGTAAAGTAACTTATATTTGAAGGGTTTCGAAATTAAACACGAAATGTGCGTATTTCTCACAAATATAGCTAGCAGGTCTATAGTATACTACCTACAGTAACAGGATTTCTTTAGAATTTAGATAATAAAGATCGCAATTTATAACTGTCATCAAGTAACAAGATAATTTGCTAAATGACATGATTAGTATTTGATTACCACTGTTAACAATTTACGGGTTTCAATAAGAAAACTGAAATCTTCTAAAGACTATAATGTCATCTGTTTTTAACAGTCCATAGCATCTTTGTATTAGGACGCCTGGTCTTCGATCCTTACTGTATTTTTCAATGGAGCCATTATAGAAATCCGTTTTTGAAGCTCTTTGAATGTAAAACATGATAACAAGAGATCAAATCGTAAATATGCATTTGGACTTGACATCTCATCAACTACTCTGAACAGTTCGACTAATCTAGATCAGTAAAAAATGAACTAAAGGACTATGCTACTTTAGATATCAGTCAAATATAGGTAGTTCAAAATGAAGAATCATTTTTCGTATTCGTGCCTAAATATTGGTATATTAGTAGTGTTACGATAATTATAAATATTCGAATTAATGGGCTAACTAAGAATATCTGAAATAGTGTAATTTAAGGTGGGTAGAACTAGATGAGCAGAACTAAACGTATTTTATTTGGAATTCGTAATAATCGCGCAATCAAGTACAAAGGAAGCACCAGTTAGTTCAAATACCACAAGTTTGTAAACATTTCTCTCTGTTATTGTTAACGAATAGGTTCCAGTGATGTTTATTAGTTTCAAAAACGGAGAAACAAATTCCTCTCTTCTCAAAATGAATAACATGTTCATCAGAAATTTTGATTATTTTATTCCCTTTAAATCTACTTTTAAATGCACAATTGTATTTAATATTACAATTCATAGAGGTTGCTTTCTTTAACATTTGAAAAGCCCATACTTATTTCTCAAGATAATAATTACAGTAATGGCGATCATAAAATTCCGTTAAACATGGTAACAGTGAGGTATAATAAAGGTATTAAGCCGTTATTTGAGGAGATAAAATGTTGAAATTGTGATGAGATGTAATCAGGAGGATCATAGAAATAGAAATAAACCATTTGGGAGTAAAAGGTTTATAGAGAAGATGGAGGGGGAAGCAGATGGCTGTGAAGGAAGAAAATTATGAGACAAAGACTATGGTAGAAAGAGTTGTACCGGTTTCTTTTGGAAACAATCCTGGTTTTTTCAGATGTATAGATAGTTCCTCAGCAGTGTTAAGAAGATGGAGTATAACTGCCTTTGGTAGCCATCATCTTAACTTGTGGATGACTGAACGTTGAGTCCGCTTTGATTGACTTGTGTTCACAAGTGTTATAACTTGTAGAGAACATTGATTTATCGACCTGACCAATGAATCAAAAAACCCGTGCGAACAGTCTAGTCTTTACCGGTCCTGCCTCCCTTCTAGCCCTCCTTGTTAAGCTCAGAACACCAATCTCAGCCTCTACGTAATGAATCATGCATTTGAGACATACTGGTCTTATATACAATCGAAACAGACCACATCGTACCATAAAATAGAAAATAACCTTTGTACAAGTTTCAGCCGAAAGTGCTTGTGAATGTGGGAGAAAGTTATTGATGGACTAGGCATAATTCATGAATGGTAAGTCGTGTAATTATAGTTCATAGGTCGAAATGAAGCTTATAATAAGAGGAACACGAATATGAATAGTTTAGTTATTTAACAATTGTACGATAAAAAATACGTATAGTATTATTCGAGAAATAGATTCCAACATTTACCATTCATTATTCTCATCGGGATACAACAACAAGTTCGATCATTGAGCCTCTTAAGCCAAGTCGAGTAATGTTCTTGGATTTATTTAGATAAAGTACGGCTCCGACGATATATATACCTGGCTCCACATGAATGAGTAAACTGATATATGCACCTAGAATTGGTCATATTAGATAATTTATCCTTAAGGTTATAATTGAACATGGATCGGCTTGAGAACACTATTCACAAAGTTGCAGCGAAGAATGTTCTTTTTAGACAATCAGACATTCTCCTCTCTAGGACATCTGTTACTCTATCACCCCGCAAATTGATGTTCACGTAGAGTGTTTTCCTTTCAACAGAGGTTATTTGTACTTTAGCTGGTCCGGGTTTTATGTTCTTTTCAATAAGTACCAAAGGATATTCTTTTTCGATGAGTATTTTCTTCAGGAGGCTAAGTTTGTTATCCATGACGTCGGGACCATAAATTTTTCGAACTCGCCTAGCGAGTGATGTGAATGAGTTTCGCTATTGACTAATGGAACCTAGATAGCTGGCCACTCTACAAGAATTTCCTGTAGATTGATCTTCTTAGAGTTTCGTCGTGTTTTCTTGTCATTTCAACATCAAGAAAGTGAATACTTTGTTTGTTTTCAACTCCAAGTGGGAAATTTATTGCTGGATGGTAGTTATTAAGTGTTTTCAGAAGATGATTCGAATCATATTTGTTGTCAAAAATGATAAAAATACCATCCAATTACATTTTATACAAGTAAAAGTTGTCCTTGGTCGTCTTAAGTTAATTGTTTTCTAGACCGGATGTGAAGCAATCTACTAGTAATGGAACAAGAGAGTATCCCCTTGCTATACCATCCTTTTGCCTATGGATTACGTCATTAAATGTCTGTTTGATTAAATTTTCAAATTAAACATGTGAATTTTGTTAGATTTTTCATTTGTCTCAGAATTTCGTCCCTTAAGATAGAGCTTCCAGATGTACATTTATTTGTTAAGGATACTGAAGAACGATTAAACACATCTCTCACGATTGATCGGAAATTTATGTTTTGTTTCTGTGATTTTAAACTTTCAGTGAGATCCTATATATTGTCGTACGTTTGCCAATAATTGTGGTGACATATTCGGTGAAAAGATAGTGTTCATTAGGTGACAACTTATATAAGACGGGAGATCTTTGTGGAATGTTGAATTTTAATAGCGAGATGCGTGTAAGAATAGAACTGATAATATATGGCGTTTAAGAGATTCGGAGTTTGGATAAACATGGTTTCTTCAAAGAATTCTCAAGTAGCGTTTTGGATACATGTGTTTATTAATACCATCATTAAGAAAGTTAACCTTCGCATTCACCTCAGAGAAATCGACGGAATAACGCAGAAACTCATTAAGTTCCTTGACTGTCGAAGAAACTATTTAACATTAACCGAATACTGTTATTGTGTGTAAAGGTTAAAGAAAATAAGTATATTCACTAACATGTTTGTTTTACGAACACAGACCCTAACACATCTCATCCAGCAAGTTTGAGGAAAACTGTGTATATACCAATGAAAGTTTTGAGTCATGATTTAATCATGTACTAATTGGGAGATGATTGTTATCACTAACACAAATTAAACCATAATCTTATTACTGGATCAAGAGACTGAGGAAAAATCTTGTAAAATGTGA